AAGTAATGGGCAAATCTGGTAACACTAAATCGCAAAAAGGAAACTTATAAGTGGAAACTTGAAGAAATATCTAGGGAAGAATATAAGAGCATTGTTCGGGCATGCAGGGATGAAATCAGGAAGGCCAAAGCACAATGGGAGTTGTAGCCAGCAAGGGATGTGAAGGGCAACAAGAAGGGTTTCTACAGGTCTGTTGGCGGCAAGAGGAGGATCAGGGAAAGTGTGGGTCCCTTACTGAATGGGGGAGGCAATGTTGGCTACAAAGGACCAACTCACAGGATCACCATAAATTCTAGTTTATTGTACAGGATGTGAAGTTACCAATAAGATCATAAATGCAAACTTTGAGTTATGAGGGGTACTGGCCACTTTAACACACACTGACACACACACACACACACATGCAAGTGCTGCAATAGTAGTGTAGCACCAATGTTGGTTTATAACTATCCAGGACGCTGGAGCCTGCTGTCGATGGTCAGCTTCCTCCAAGGCGACGTCTTCTCCAGAAGGGGGTCGCCTGCTTGTCCTTCTGTCTCGGTAGGTCGGGTGCCGGATGAGAGGGCACCACTGAGGGTCACGCTTCACTGACTTTCATCCCTTTCTGGCAGACTTCTGTGATCCCCCAGCATCATCTTGGCTGCCCAATCCAGAGGCTGGTGTCCCCCGCGGGGCGTCTTGCGTAGCGCATGACAGTTGTCAGTCACAGTCACTGGGGAATGTCACTGCACTCCCAATGTGCTCTCATGTGCACAGTCACTGCACTCCCAATGGTGCAGTTTTAGGAGTCCACCCTTGACTTGACTGACGTAATGGCAGTGTCCTTGCAGGTTTCAGGTGGCTGGATTAGCTTAAAATGGCTTGTAGAGTAGAGTTTTGTAATGGTAAATTCCTCTGGCTAGCCTATTGTCAATTAACAGCCAGAGGATCTTGCTTTGTCATTCAATTATCTAATGCAGGGGTGTCCAACGTTTTTGAATGCGGGGCCGGATCACGAACTTTTTACCGCCCAGTGGGCCAGCGAGCCATATTCAAAGACCTCACAGGAAGTGACGTCACATCAGGAAGCGATGTCACATGACCTTTGACACCAATGAAGTCACAGGAAGTGACAATAAAATGGGTCTGCTCTGCACGGGAACTTACCCCGTGCCTCCATCCGCCCTAGCCCGGCCCAGAGGCACCCCCAACTCCGCACAGGAACTTACCTTGTGTCTCGGTCCACCACGCATGCAGGCAGGGCACAGGCCATACTGCACCTCCCCCAGCCATGTGCTGGGGGCAAGAGGCAGAGCCTGTTACCAGCTCCTCCAATCACGAGCGGCTCGGGCAGCCCCACTCCACACAGCCCTCACTGTTGCCCTGCTGCTGCCGCCCCGCCACCGCCGCTGCGGATCCACACTCTGCCGCCGGGGCTCTGCGCTCTGCCCCTGCCACGC